TTTCTGCTTAAATTGTGGAATGCCATTGCCTTTCAAGCTACTTTCAGACTCCAGGTAACTGCTGACATATTTATCACATAATTGTATCAACAGCAGTAATTAATATCATCCTAAAATCAAGTTACGTAAGGGCCTCAGTTGGTACTCAACATTTCTGTTCACTGTGTGTAAAAACAAACCGTCTGCACTGCGGGTCTGTTTCCTAAGCTTTCCTGCACCTTGAACACAGTTAAGTTCATTTCTCCTGGTGCCCCCAGGTGCCTTAGGCTGGATTCCCCTCTGACAACCACAACTGTGGTTTCCATAACAAGCTGCTCTGAAAGTGGCTCTGTACCCCCAGGCACCCACTCTGTCCCCAGTGGCTGGAAGCTTAAACTATTTGTAGTTTCTGGGCCCTGACCTCACCACTCACCTAGAGGCTTGGGCCTTAACCCTTTGGGACTTAGGCCCCTCTGGCAGCCTACTCATTGCAGTCTTCAACCATCAGACTGCCTGAGCTCCTCAGCATGGGCATGGACTAATAGGTTAGAACTAGCAGGAGGTAAAGCTGCAGGGAAAGGCAAAAGCACGGAATTCAAGAAATAAACGGTTATACACAAAATCTAATAGGTTCTGCTCTAGAAGGCCAGAGAGGCTGCAGTTTCCCTTGGGTCACAGTGCTAGCATGGGAAGCAGAGCAGAAATTGGAATGTAGATAACCCTTTTCCAGCTTAGTGCTTTCCGCTATAACATATTAACAGCTCTAAGAGATTCACTGCAAAGACCTTACAGGTATTCACTGACCAGAGGGCCAAGTCAACAGGACAAAACAGAACTTCTACTGGGACAGTTCTACAAACCTGACATCCCTGACATTCAGTGCCAGCTGGGTAGAGAAGGCAAAGTGTCCTATGTCGTCGTTAGGTGCTGTCAAGTTGATTCTGATTCATAGACCCCATGTACAACAGAATGAAACACTGCCTGGTCCTGTGCCATGCTCACAATCATGGCTGTTTCAGCAGGTTGCAGCCACTGTGTCAATCCATTTCGTTGAGGGTCTTTCTCTTTTGTGCTGACGCTCTACCAAGCATGATGTCCTTATCTAGGGACTGGTCCCTCCTGGTAACATTTCCAAAGTAGGTGTGTCCTGTACATCCATAAAATGGACTATCATGAAGCCACTGTAATGAGAATGATTATGTTGAGGGGAAAGAGCAAAAATTAAAATTATAGCTGTAGTTTCCTCTCAACTATGCTAAAAAAAAAAGAAGAAAAGCCTGTCAGAAGGCAACATTAGCAGTTTGCAAGTATTGTGATTCCAGTGGGGAAAGAACCTACTGTCCCTAGCCCTGTTCTCTTCTATGAACTATGCTGCTTCTAATATGTGTAATTGTTTAAGTTATTTAACATAAAGACAATCCCTGCTGAGAAGTATTTTCTACCTAACAGCTCAAAACACACAGTATATGTGTGCATATATATACATTAAAAAAAACCCAAACCAAACTCACTGTCAAGTCGGTTCTGACTCATAGCAACCCTATAGAGTAGAGCAGAACTGCCCAAAAGGGTTTCCAAGGAGGGGCTGATGGATTGAAACTGTTGAACTTTTGGTTAACAGCCATAGCACTTAGCCACTGTGCCACCAGGGCCCCGAGATACATACACACACACACATATATATATATATGTACAAACACACATACCTTTTTAAAAGTTTTGATCACATCTTTTAACACGATGCTTAGACTATTACCCAGATTTTTACTTCTATCCTATTGACACTTTTGCCATCCTACATGAAGATGCCAGCACAATGGTACAAAACACAATAACCTAATTGGTTTCCCCACTTCTGCCCTAAATCCCTTTTCTAGTGTCTTGCTGCAGCAGCCAAAACCTCAATTGGTAGGCTCCCCACACTTGCCGGGATCCAGCCCCTCTGAGCTGATGTTGCTCACTCTAGCCACGCAGTCTCCTGCTGTTCCTCAACCACTCCAAGTACACAGGGGTCTCCCTCCTAATGCCTGCACAGCTGTCTAGCTCCATCATTTATACCCATAACACTTTAGGTATTTACTGGTTTGCATGGGATTATCCTGAAAGGCAAAATAACATCCCTGATCTCTAAGCACTAATGCCCATAGCAGCCCGTTACTGTGATAATCAAAAATCCACCCCCATAAGTGTTCAAATACCACAGGATGAGGCTGGGCAATACTGCCTCAGTTTGAGAACTATGCCATACAGGACTAGAACATTCATTCGGCAAAATAGCATCCACCATCTCTGGGCCTGGTATTGGGATATAAAGACAGATGCCCACTAGAGATACCACCTTACTCCAACGACAATCACACAACGTGACATGGGATAGAGGGTCACCTAACAATGATCCACTGCCAACTTATCATGGGTAGCTAAAGAAATGAGAAAAATAACCACACAGCAAGAACAACAAAACTAAGTTTATTAAAGAACCTCCTTGAATATTATGTCCTCCTCCTTCTCTTTTCGGTATTAGGATGTGGCTGGCCAGTGCTTCTAAACTTCAACGTGCATACAAATCACCTGTGGATCTTGTTAACCCTTTCGTGCCTGGCAGCATATACAGCAACTACGAACTTTTTCAGTCTCTGGGGTTTACTGGGAAGCTGCTTGCTTTATTACTGATAGTGCATGCTGCCGCAAGGCGGGGCCTTTATGACTATTTGAAAGCAAAGAAACTGGCATGTATCACACATTACTATTTTTACAGGGTATTATTGTATGTGGTGCCTGAATTTTTGTTACACATATATACAAACACCCCCCCCACCCCGTGGGGACTCTGGTGTATAATCAGTGGTACTTCATATGTACCACTGATCACTTAGGGTAGCCTTATAAGTGGGGGCCAAGAAAAAAAATCCATACCACCTACCAAAAATTCAGACTCAATGATTCAGCATGCTTCCATTAATGGAAACACATGGTATCGGAAAAAAATTCAAAGCATAAAATAATTGGGTCACCAAAGGGTTAAAGGCAGATTCTAATTCAGTAGGTTTGAGGTGGGGCCCCAGAGCTTTAACCAATTGCTAGGTGCTCTTATCTACCTACTTCTTCCAAGCCCAAACCAAAACTTCAGTGCTTCAGGGGGATGTCTGACAGGAAGTCAAACTTCTAACCAGGACGGTGGCAAGCACAAGTTGCCCTAAACTGGTCAGGGAATGTCCCCACTTGTTCCAGTCCAGATGTTTCATGACTCACTCAAAAACTCACTGCTAGTTAGAGCTAAGACTAAAATCGTTAGATCTCTGAATACCCAAAAGTGCTCTTTGCACTGGGCCAGAAGGAGCCCAGGTATTTTTCCATTCAACCAAATACACAATACAGCAGGACCAAACAAAGGTAAAGCAGGTTTATATTGTTAAATAGTAATACAAACACAAAAACATAAGAAATACACAGCAAATGGCTAACAGTAGTTAAAGTGGATGAGGTTGGTAATAGCATTACAGGGACCTTCTACATTTCTTACTTCTGAAATGCTTCATTCAGGTGAAACCAAGATATACTCTCCATCTCCTCTGTAAATATTAACTTCCCACTGCAACTAGCACCTGGCACCACTTAGCTATATAGTCACCAAGAGTTAGGTTGTTCTCAAACATGTTTATTCCAGTTGTAGCTGTTATTGTAATTACACAAGTTATAAAAATGAGTGTTTTCCCCCTATAAAAATGAAGCAGAATCACAAGAATTAGACTCCTACACAAGTTTTCATTCTGTTTATGTGGTGACCCTGGCCCTGAGGCAAAAGACTGACATGTGAATGCACATTTATTTTTTAAGGGAAATAAATGATATATGGTAAAACATTTCATGATTCTCCTCTTTAACAAAATGGATCTGATCTTACTGGAAAAGAGGACATCCACTGTAATAGGTTTATTGTCAGGAAGACAAAAAAATACCTATTTTCATTAAAAAAGGTACACCAAATAATTTTCAGGTTAAAAAAAAAAGTCTATAAAAGCAGGTAACAAATCAGAGAACCATTTAACAGCAATTAAAAGGTGGCCAGAGGACAAGTGAACTCATTAGTCACATATAAGTAAACTACTGAACTAAATTAAAATGTGCTCAGAATTTAAACCCCAGGTTGAAAAATATGAACCAAACCCTCTGGCCAATTATTATGTCTAATGGTCAGAGAAATGGTAGCTTTTGCATGTCATTGCTCCAGTGATCTGGAAAAGCATAGGCAAGAAAGTCTAACTTCCACACCAAACAGGGAAGCAAACTTTTAATACATTTCTCGTATACACCAAAACACAAAAATAAAACTAACGCTCTGGAAGCACTTGTGACTGGTATTAGTCTAAACATTCTATAAGTATTAATCCATCACCCCTCTGAGGGTTATTAGTATTATCATTGCCTCTATGATACAGATGAGAAAAGTGAGGCAGAGATTAATAACTCCACTCAAGGTAACACAGAGCTAGTAGAAGGCAGGGCTGGGGAGTGAACCCAGGTAATTTGTCTCAAAGACCACCCTCTTACTTACTCCACTTATACTGCCCTCAACAACTCTATAAATTCTCCTTAAAGGAAAACCGAGCCTGAATAGTTAAGCCAAAATGTAAACACAAGCGCCACACCAAAGCCTGCGATCCCCCACTACGTATCAGTGCTGATAAAATATCCAGTGAAGAATAGGATCACCAAACAGAGGGGAGCCTCCTAGACCATGGCAGCACTGCACCCCACCTAAAACCCCAACCCCAACCATACCCGCCTCTCTAAAATCAGTTTACACAGAAAGCACACCACTGCAACACAGCATATCAATCTGGGTGTGGTGAGCACAGGCAAGCTACAAATCACGGACTCCATCTGCCAGGAAACACCGGCATCCCATCAGAGGATGACAGGGTTTAGTTACCAGCTATTCCCATTGAAGCTTTAAGTGGCTTGATGTCCAAGGACTTGAATATGGCCAGGCTCCTTTCAGAGAACACACAACAGTAATGTACATTTCACTGAAAACTTTTTATTGGCTTTTTGGATAGAAACGGAAATTTATTTGCCAGGAAGGATGATCCCATCATACTGAAAGAGAAGAGATTTTATTTTTTTCAGAATAGGAGGCAACAGCAAAGACTGCAGCAATGGCTAACATTTGAGAATTAAAACCTGATACACACAACTCTGGCTCTAAACCCCACATCCCTTTTGGACCAAACGGGAAGGTGGCCGGTTTTAAAAGTCCAAAACTGTGCTCAACTCTCTATATCCTGAGAAAAGGGGGCACCTTTTAAGGCCATATTCCTCCCCTTCCAACAACCCGTAGTGGGAAACTTACTTCTGGGTGTTTTTTTCAAACCACCAGCCCTCGAAGCCCCCATATGCCAAGTCCCAAATATTTCATCTTTTAAAAAAAGCTACCCACCAAATGGTGCTATATTCTGCCCCCCAAGTCCCAACTCCATTCACCAACACCACATACCACCACCTCACTTGATAAATCAGCTTTACCTTCTGCTGGAACCAGCGCATGGCCTCCTCTTTGCTGATTCTGTGTTTGGCCCCAATGCAGCCTGTCCTGCGCTTCTTGTCTGCGATGCTGAAACCTGGCCTACCCAGCACCTGTCCCAGGAATAACCAACAGTCACCTAGCTAGCTCAAGTCAAGAGCAGACAGACAAGACTCACACATTGGAGAGATCTTCGAGAGTCACCTGGCAGCCCAATGAATTCTGAAGCAAGACCTATGCTATTAAGTGTCTGGCGGAACTGTTCTCGGCATCCCAGACAACACACCACCACACTAGAGGTTGGCTTTGGAGGCTGGAACTTTCAGCACCCTACCGCTGCCCACCTAAACTTCCAATGGTAATGATCCTCCACCACTGCTTCCCCAACCTCCAAAGCACGTTCTTATTAAAAATAACAAAAAACTTTATTACAACATGTACATTGTAAAAAAAACTTTAAAAATTCTGAGAAGCACAAAGAAATAAAGTCAAACTTTTCCCATTCTGGTTCAGCTCAAAAATGTTTTCCAAACCTTTGCCACCCCAAACTCACTAATCAGCATCCAATTCTCGCTACTGTTTAGTTTTATGGTTGGACCAAAATGCTGCTAACACAAATGGTCATTTCCACATTTAAAATCCCCATCCTGAGCAAACAGTCACATCACCCAAACCTGTGTCTGTCATCTGGGTGGAAGTCACACCATCCCTGGATCTACTCGGTGGGGCTGGAAAGAGCAGCTAACCCACGTGCCAAAAGTAGCACCAATACTACCTCTCAAAAATCTTCCAGTTCAGTGGCTGGATTGAACACTTTCCCTTATCCACCTTTAGGCCATGTTGGTGCTCCCTAGATCCTAGACTGTAAGCTTCCTAACAGCAGGGATCCTGTCTATCTTGTTTACTACTGTATCTCTATGCCTGCCACAAAGGAGGCACATCTTCCCAAAGGGGAGAAAAGACAAGCAGACAATACTCAAAACTTCCATCCCACACCTGAACATCAAGAGAGCACATACAAAACACAGCAGTAGTAGATTCCTCTCTGCAAAGACCAGGAGCAGAGAAGATTAAATATTCATACCACATAGAAGTCCAGGCCGTAGATACCAATGCTAGGGTCATATTTGATCCCCAGATCGATGTGTTCCTGGATCCCAAAACCAAAGTTTCCAGTATCGGAGAAATTATTTTTTCTTAACTCGTACTCTCGCACCTGAGGAGAAAACGTAGCAATGACGTTCCTTGTCAACATCAACTCCTCAAAAGAGAACTTGCTCAGTCTGCAACACTCAGCATCCCAGTCACAGAAACACTTGGCTGGGAACAAAATCTCTTCACGACACCAAATCACATCCAGCTCTATAGATTCTATGGAGCTTTCCCAGCTGCCAAAGAGCAGGGAAAACTCACAAAAAGCAGTGGCATCACAATTGCCAGCAACTTTTAAGCCACCAAAAAATAGAATATGTTTTAAGCCCGCTGGGTGCAGGAAAAGCACTTTAGAAGCTTTAAAAAAAAAAAAAAAAGCCAGGGCACCAAAGATAGTGTATTAACAGTAACTACTAGCAATTGTAATTAAATACAGTTGGCAATCATGAGGGAATCAGTCTCACCTTTAGACCTTTCTCCAAGATTTCCTCTGCCTTGGCCCCACGGACTGTGCAGTGGACGGCAATTTTTTCATTTCTCCTAATGCCAAAGGATCTGACGGTGTATCTAGCTGCAGGCAGAAGGGAACAAGCAGTGAGGTGTTGTCATAATCCCAGGCACTTGCTTCTTCCCTAGAACATCATTTCTATAACTCAAATGAGACATTAAGAATCCACCTACACTCTCTAAGTGGTGGTAGTCTAACCAGTGCCACCTACATCTGTTAACTGATATCATCTACAACATAGAAAACAGATTCTCCAAGTCACCCAACCACAATTCAACAATTAAGAACTTAAAACCATGTCAAAGTCTCAGGAAAGTCAAGATCACAACCAGAATGAGCCAGAGGCCACCTAGAAAGGAAGATAGTCCTTGTGTTCTAAAGAAAACAAAACATTGATAATAGCTAATAAATGTTGAAATCTTAATGTACTGTCATCCTCATCCTACAGATGAGGTTCTGAGAAGTTAATAAACTTGCATAAAATCACACTGGTGGTAAGCTGGTTTTGAACCCAGACACTTAAATCAGTCTTTGCTATATTCCACTATTCTAAAGCAATGAAACTTTGAAAACAGAAAAAGTAACAATAGTTAACACCTACATTTCACTTGGTATGTAGAAGGCACTTCACACATACCAATTCATTTTCTCCTTCACAATTTTATAAAGTGAGTATTATCTTCTTCTGCAAATAACAAAATGTGGTAGAGCAGGATTCAAACACAGTCAGTCTGGGTACAACCCTTTTCCTAAGGAAGCCCATATAACCCTAAATGTCAATCACACTTAACACCCTTTACTACACTCCAGACATTCCCACCCTACCTCATATCCTAACCCTCGCCACTCCATAAGGTTTTCAATGGCTGTAATATTACAGCGATAGATGGCCAGGCCTTTCTTCCTCGGTGCTGCTGGTTGGAAATGAACCACAACCTTGCCAACTTTTCAGTTAGTTGCCAAGCTCAAATCATATGCACCACCCAGGGACTGCACACACTGGGTAGAAAATCTTTACTTGGGATAGTTTTAGCTTAATCTCTGCTCATATACAATCACGTATTCCAACACCACACCCTATCTTCAAAGGAAGACACTTCTTGGGTAGCTCATGTACTTCACGCTTTTAAGAAATAATGCCGAGTTTCACTTCAAACTGGGCACTAAGCAGGCTTGACAGCAGGTTAAGTTTAGAAATAACCTGGCATAACAGCACCTCACCGTGCCTGCCACTACTCACCTTTGGAGAACACAGGGGTCTGACCTGTGAGCTGCTCCAACACCTTGGCTGCGCGGGTCAGTCTGTCTCCACTCTCCCCCACACAGATGTTGAGGCAGAGCTTGCGGATGCGAAGTTCCCGCATGGGGTTCTCTTTTTCACCTTGATCCTGCTGCAACAGGGAAGCGCAGTAGTCAACACACTTACAATCCCGCCCCAGTTGCTTTATTGTTCTGTCCATTTGCACAGCATGTTTATTTCTGTTCATTTCAAATTGCAACGAAAGCCTGATGTGTTTCACCCTGTTTGTAAAGCATTAAGGAAGAAGTCGGCTCGGGCCCTTGCATCTTCTTCCGCGCAGGTAATGGGTGTGATCAGAGACCGAGGTACCGAGTGTTAAGTTAGACATTGAGGATGAACCTCAAGGGGCTCAACGTGCAGGGTGTGGAAGAGCGCCCCATTACAGGGCTAATTAATAAAGCTTAACTACTGAGAAAACACGTGGTTATGCGACGTCCCCCCACCCCATGCCTAAGCTCTGTTCGCTGGCTGCTGCCGAAGGCGGACGCCCCAAAACAGAGAAACCAGCTGACGTTTCCTAGCAGCGGGCACCAGCCTCAAGCCCGAGACCGAGCACGGGCCCGGACCCCGAGTCCTGAGCCGCTCCACTCGGCCAGACCGTGCCTTTAAGCCCTCCTTGAGCTTGCCCTGAGCCTGCTCCTGGTGGGTGAGAGAAAGGTGACGGGCTCCAGACCCGCGCCTTCGCCCGCGCCGCGCCGCCAGTTTCGGCGTGGCCGGCATTGCGGGCTCCGTTCTCCTCGGGACACGCATAGGACAGCCCACACGGGCTTCGCCAGGAGCGGATGGAGGCGGATGAAGGAAGCATACCCAAGCCTCGCCTACTCACCGCCATGATGGAGAACAGGAAAAGAGAGCAAGGTTTCCGGCCCGAGGACTTATGGGCCAGGAGGCGGGCTCTTTTCCTAAGCAAACCAGAGAGATGAGAGAGAGGAGGAGAGGCGCGTCTACTGCAGCGCAGCGTCGGCTTGCCCTCGTGGCCACTGCTGGCAACTGCAGGCGACGCCGGCTGTCGTTTTCCAAGAATAGTTTTTAAAGCTCTGTGTAACTGGCGTTTCTTTCAGCTTTTGACGCCCTTTCTTCTCACACAATCTCAAGACCTGGTGCTTCTTGCATGATGAAACTGCCAAGGCTAAGGCTATATTAAATCAATTCTCCAAATTATGAAGCAAATAATTTTAAAAATTTGTTCTATAACAATGTACACAAATCAAATTTTTACAGATAGAACAGAGTGGTGGCTTAAGAGTCCCGAGCTGTGAAGACAGGCAGATATGAACCTGTCTTGGCAACCTGATAACTACGTGACCTTGGGCTGGTTACTAATTAGACCGCGCTCAGCCTCAGTTTTCCTCATCTGTAAAACAGGTTAATAGTACCGATAGCTCATAAAGCTGTCAAAATTAAATGAGGTATGGTCCAGCAATCTCAATCCTAGGTATATATATACTCAGAAGAGGTGAAGTTGGGAACTCAAACAGACACCTGTACACCTGTGTTCATGGCAGCACTTTTCACAATAGCCAAAAGGTAGAAACAACCAAAATGTCCGTCGACAGATGAAAGGATAAACGAAATGTGGTCTATTCATGCAATGGAATATTATGCAGCCATAAAGAGAAATGAAGTTCTGATGCTTGTCACAACATAGATAAACCTTGAAAACATTGTGCTGAGCAAAATAAGTCCGTTGCAAAAGGACAAATACTGTATGATCTCACTTATATGAAATAAGCAAGTACATAGAAATCAAACATTGATGGTTACCAGGGGTGGAAAGGAGGAGTAAAGACTGAGCTTTTGTTTGGGGGACATTGAGTTTATGTTAAAGTGGCGGAATATTTTGGAAAAGGATAGTGATAATCACCATTGTGACATTACGTTATTATAACATGAAAAAATGTAATCAATGTCATTGGATTGTCAACATGGAAGATGTTGTATTGGCAAATGTTTTGGTGTGTATATTTTCACCAGACTTAAAAAGAAAAAAAATTTAATGAGGTAATTGTGGAAAAAAAAAAATCCAAACCCATTGCCGTCAGTCGATTCTGACTCATAGCGACCATATAGGGCAGAGTAGATCTGCCCCATAGGGTTTCCAAGGAGCAGCTGGTGGATTTGAACTGCCGACCTTTTGGTTGGTAGCTGAGCTCTTAACCACTGCGCCAACATAGTAAACCCACAATAAGTAGTAACTCTTGTTATCAATAAAAAACTATATCCAAGTAAACCCCTCTCCCTGCCCACCCCCCCAACCAACTGTTAGTCAGGGTATATATTTGAGGGTCATCCTGCAGGCACAAAGATCTCTGACAGACAAGGATTCCAGCCCCAGATAATAGGTAATAGGGCTCCCTGGTCCACCCTCGATCCTCGGCGGTGTGCTGAAAGCTGAGTCAGGATCCATGTTCCAGGCAGAAGCTGGCCTTAGTCAGCCAGTTCGTTTAACAGGAGCAAAAAGGAAGAAGAGAACACACAGAGCTTTGGAGGAATAGGAGCCCAGCCCCTTTCTTCTGCCATAATTCCCTTCTTTCATGCCTGTAGAGGAAGCAGAAGCCCCTAGCCTCTTCTTGTTTCATCCAAGGGACAAGAGGATTCTTGTGGGAAGCTGGGCTGATGGAGGAAAGCAAAGAGAAAAGGCCCTTACTTTGAGCCTCCTCCATCAAGCATCACTGGCCAGCTCAGAGCTGGAGCCTCAGCCAGACCTCTGGGTGGGACAGGGCCAAGGGAGGGGCTTCGAAACTTGAACTAAAGATACAGCGGAATGCAATGCATGGTCTTGAATTGTCTTTAGCTATAAAGCATTTGCAGCCACCACCTGTCTGTCAGTGGAGGCTTGCATGTTGCTGTGATGTTGAACAGGTTTCAGCAGAGCTTCCAGACCAAGACAGACTAGGAAGAAAGTCCTGGAAATCTACTTTCAAAAGTCAGCCAGTGAAAACCCTATGGAGCAAAACAGTCCGATCTTCGACTAGTCATGGGGATGGTGCAGGACTGGGCAACGTTTCGTTCCATTGGGCATGGGGTTGCCATGAGTCAGTGACTGACTAGACACAGCTAACAACATAAAGCACATTATTGGGAATTGGCAAAATCTGAAAAGGGCCTGTAGATTTCAGTATTGTATCCATGTTAATTCCCTGTTTCTGATTATCAAACCTTGGTTATGTAAGAGAATGTCCTTGTGTTTAAGAAATAGACATTCAGTATTTGGGGTAAATGGGGCATCAGAAAAAAGTTCACAAATGGTTCACAAATGGTTCAGGAAAAAATATGTTTATTTATGGCCCCCGGACTCTCTGTCAGCCCAGCACTAAAATCATTCCTGAGGCCAATTCTTCAGTCAAAGGTTAGACTGGACTATGGGACATAAAATGATACTCGTGAAGGGTGTGCTTCTTAGCTCAAGTGGATACATGAGACTGAATGGGCAGCTCCTGTCCAGAGGTGAGATGAGAAGACAGAGATGGTCAGGAGCTGGTTAAATGGACACAGGAAATCCGGGGTAGAAAGGAGAAGTGTGCTGTCACAGTAATAGGGAGAGCAGTTAGGGTCACATAACAATGTATGTATAAATTTTTGTATGAGAGACTAACTTGAACTGTAAACTTTCACTTAAAGTACAACAATGAAATAAAATTTTAAAAATGTATTTATTTAGGGAGAAGAGGAAAAAGCAAACTTGGTGAATTTAAGATTTGGGGAATCTGGGTGAAAGGTATATGAGAATGTACTGTTCTTAAAACTTCTCTGTAAGTCTGAAATTGTCAAAATAAAGTTAAGGAAAAAAACTCAAGGGAAACATGTACCTGGGAAGATATAAAACAGAGCTCATTCTCCGAAGGATTCGTTCCTTTTCCCCTCCTTCCCCTTCCCAACTTTTCTTCAAATCAACTAGGTCTCACTTGGCTGCAGTACCCACACCGTGCTAATGAAAGTAAATAATGAACAGCTAATTGACTGCGTGCACAGTAGATAATCGGCTCACTCAGCCTTCAATAACCCTATGGAGGCAGATACTATTTGGGATGGTTAATGTTATGTGTCAACTTGGCTAGGCTATGATTCCCAATGATATGGAAGATACTATGTAATCACCTTCCATTTTGTGATCTGATGTGATCAGCCAGTTAGTTGAAAGGGGGGTTTCCTTAGGGGTGAGTCCTGCCTCCAATATATAAATGGATGTTCTGGTAAAGCTTGCTTGCCCTCTGCCCTCTGCCCAACCTCTGATTCTTGGGATGTAAACCTGCAGAAGTCTCTGGCCTACTGCCTGACCTGCAGATTTTGGATTCACCAACCCCCGCAACCCTGTTAGCCAGGAGAGGCCTCCAGCCTGCCACCTGACCTGTAGATTTTGTGTTCCTCAGCCCCTGCGACCATATGAGCCAGTAGAGAACTTCAGCCTGTCACCTGACCTATGGATTTGGGAATGCCAGCCCCCGTAATTACATGAGCCATTTCCTTGAAGCAAATTTCTCTTTGTATATATTTACATACACTTCACTGGTTTTGCTCCTCTGGAGAACCTAGACTAAGACCCTGTTGCTTTCCCATTTTACAGATGAGTAAACAGGCACACAGAAATTCAGTAGCTTTTATGACCAGTATTTAAGTCAAGCAGTCCAACACTAGAGTCTAGTCCTGTTTGAGGTACTAATGAACTAGGCCAGGGCCAAGAGCTTTCTCAGAGTACCCCCTCTCAAGACATAACTAAAGTGTGGCACATAAATTGCGTGCTGTGGCTGCCGCTGGGGGGGGGGGCGCTAAGGCGGGGAGGGGTGCTAACAAGCAGTTTCTATTGACCATTGCAGTTTCCATCACCAGCTGTGAAAGATCATTCAGTAATTTAAAACTAATGGCCCCAGGCGATATTTTGCCCCAGTCCCATCACCCTTGACACCTTTTCCTCCCCATCATCATCGCTCTCTGGGTCTTGCACTGGTTAGGCCCCCAAAAGGAAGCCTGACTGGCAGAATTAGAGTTCAGTGCCCCACCTGCTTCCTCCCTGCTTGAGATACCGAGGTCAGTAGAGGCAGAGGCCAAAAGACTTGCTGGGCTTTATTCCGATGCATCAAAGTCATCAGCAAAAAGACAACAGTGTTAGCAGGGGCAGGCTTCAGACAGTTGCAGGCCAGACCTGCACTTCCCAGGTGTGGCTCTGCCCAGGCTGCCCAGGACCTAAGGTGGCCCGCCAGTGCTCACTTCTTGGCCGCTTTTATGGCTGACTTGGTGACTTTGCCGCCAGTAGCTGCTTTTTTCTCCACGGCCTTGATGACCCCGACAGCCACTGTCTGCCTCATGTCACGCACAGCGAAGCGACCTAGGACATAGGATGTGGAGAAATAAGTGGGGAACCCTGCCAGGGCAAGAGCTACAACACGCCAAAAGCCAAACCCATTGACGTGGAGTAGATGCGTACTCACAGGGATTGTAAAGGACACAGTAGAGCTGCCCCATAGGGTTTCCAAGCCTGTAATCTTTACGGAAGCAGACTCCCACATCTTTCTCCCACGGAGTGGCTGGTGGGTTTGAACTGCCAACCTTTCAGTTAGCAGCCAAGCACTTAACCACTGTGCCACCAGGAACTCAAATGAACCAAAAAAAAAACCAAAACAGAAAGACCAGTTGCCATCGAGTTATTCCACCTCATGGCGACTCCATGTGTGTCAGAGTAGAACTGTGCTCCATAGGGTTTTCAATGGCTGATTTTTTGAAAGTAGATTGCTCTGAGTGTACTCAACCAACCTTTAGGTTTACAGCGAGCATGTTAACCTTTTGTACCCCTCAGGGACTATGTCAAGTGAGCCAAGTACATGATAATTTTAGTCATACATTTAATCCTCCCAACAACTTATAGTAGATCTCATTTTACAGGTGAGGAAACTGAGGCAGAGAAGTCGAAGGTCACTTGGCTATAATAGTTGAAAACCTGGAAGTCTCACACCACACCTTATAGTCTTAGCTGCTCGACTCTCCTGCTTCCATCTGTGCAGTAAAGACTAGAGGGAAAGTTTTGCTTTTGGTGTACCCAACACACTACCATTCTAATGCTCCCAGCATTCAAGCACCTAGCACCTTCTCTGTGCCCATCACAACCCATCTGCAGATGGATCTCACACCAAATGTGAATGTGGCAGTGGCTTCTCAAGGGGATTCTTGAATGCACCCCTTACTTCAAGTTGTAGAGGGAAAGGCGTGGCATCTGGCTTTGAGCCTCACAGTATTTTTGGCAAGGGCAGAAGGAACTAACCCAGCATCACAAGATTCATGTGGCAGCCTCTCTGGCCCATCTCTCAGATTAGTGTTGTTTAAAACTCACTCCCGGGAGAATTTAACTGGGAGCCCCTTAGGACAGGGACTTGTTCTCCTTGTTTATTAGTAACTATCTAACATCTAGCACAGAGCCTGGCATAGAAGCTCACATAAAAGTGCCTCCAAAACCTAAAAACCCATTGCTGTCGAATCAATTCTGACTCATAGCGACCCTATAGGACACAGTAAAACTGCCCCATAGGATTTCTGAGGCTGTAAATCTTTATGGAAGTAGACTGCCACACTTTATCCCACGGAACAGCTTGTAGGTGCCAACCGCCAACGCTTTGGTTAGCAACCAAGCACTTAACCACTGTACCACCAGGGCTCCTATAGAAGTGCCTCCTCCTATAAATTTATGTTCAGAATGTTCTAGGTGAGTGGTTCAAGCCCAGCCATGCATAGGGTACCTAGACAGTCTAATAAATGGATTCCTGAATTCCACACTTAAAAACAGTTAAAAGGCAATATTTTTGTTACATATATTTTACTACAGAAAAAAAAATTTTTAATTAAAAAAAAAAAAAGAAAGAAAGAAAGAACTACTAGGTCCTGTTAAAAGGATCCAGGAGCCAATTAGAGGGAATTCCTATTGGCCAAAGATGGAACAATTTAAGCATTAAGAAAGTAAGTAAAATAATTAATTAAAGGCTCAGTAAATTGAAATATAAAAATGTATATAAATCTGTGAGTTCATAATGGTACCTAAAAATAAATAAATAAATGAAACAACAACAGCAAAATACCCAAAGAACCCATGAGTCACCTTTGAAGGTTGCTAGGGCACCATCTCATTATTCTGGCAACTCATAAATAGAAAGAATTAAATACTTAAATACTTTAGAAAGAAAAAAAAAAAAAAACGGACTCTTAGGCTACAGCCTTGACCTGGTAAATCTATTGGGGTCTGGGCCCTGGGTTTCAGAGGCTCCACCAGTGATTCTGCTAATCAACCAGGTTTGAAAACCACTGCACTAGAGAACAAGAAGAAAAAAAAGTCCCTACTAATCCCTGCTGTATTCACCTTCTCTCTACTAGTGCTTTGAAAACTTCGATGTGCATTGCAATCACCTGGGGATCTTGTTAAAATGCACGTTCTGACTCAGCAGGTCCAGGTGGACCCTAAGATTCTGTATTTCTAACCAACTCCCAGGTGATATTCGTGCTGCTGGTCCACGGACCACACTTTGAGTAGCAAGGCTCTAAAGTGGCCCCTGACTTACTGTGTGACACCTGGCAAGACTCTTCCCCTTTCTAGGCCCTTCTAACCTGGCACTCAGACCCTTGTGTCCGGGCTCTGCTCCCTGGTTCAGGGGTGACAAACTGGTCAACTGGATCCCTGGACCCAGGAGGAGGAAAGGGCAGTCCCAGATGTCCAGATGGTGTTGAGACTCACCAAGGGGTGGGTACTCTGAGAAGCTTTCCACGCACATGGGCTTGCATGGGATCATATGGATGATGGCCGAGTCCCCAGACTTCAGGACTTTGGGGTTGTCTTCAAGCTTCTTGCCTGAGCGCCGGTCGATCTTCTCCTTCAGCTCAGCAAACTTGCAGGCGATGTGGGCTGTGTGGCAGTCCAGAACTGGGGAGTAGCCAGCTGCAATGCTGCCGGGGTGGTTGAGAATGATCACCTGGAGCACAGGATGGGGCGGGGAGGAAGATAGGAGAGGGCATTAGCCCAGCAACCTCCAAAGGAGGTGGCCCTAACTAGCTAAGCGGCCTGGCACCTTGGACACACTTTAAATTAAGGTGAACATGTGAGTGTTTATGGGATATACCAAGTTCCGTGCTAAGCAAGTCTTGTGTGTTCCAAGTTCATTTTCACAGCAGCCCTATGAGGCACACACAAGCATGATTATCCCCTTTTTTTTTAAACAAGCAAACTGAGAGTCAGAGAGACGAGTAACTTGCTCCAGGCTTCACAGTTAGAAAGTGGCAGAGCTGGGCGTGAGAGACACTAACGCCTACAGCACCACCAGCAGTTCCCGTCAAGCCAATGCCGACTCATGATGACCCCATGTGTGTCAGAGTAGAACGGGGCTCCATAGGGTTTTCAATGGCTGACTTTTTCAGAAGTAGACTGTCAGGGCTTTCTTCCGTGGTACCTCTAGGTGCACTTGAATTTTCAACCTTTTAGTTAGCAACTGAGCGCATTAACTATTTGCACCACCCAGGGGTTTCCAAACCTACACACATAGATGTTATTGTGTGTACCCCCTCCCCCGTTTAGAAAAATGAATTACAATAGCAGCTACCTAATTTGTTAGGTGGCCCCAGGTCAGCTGTTTTACAAGTCACCACCTCATTTAATGACCTCAAGACTGTTGCAAGGTAGAGCCCGCCTTCACTGGGATATTAAGCATGTACCAGACACTGCATTAAGCAAGGGCTTCATACTCTAACTCAGTGGGCCAATGAACCACCTGAAAGCTTCAAATAGACAGATTCCCAGATCCAACCCAGACCTATCCAACCAACCAGTTGCCATTGAGCGGATTCTGACTCATGGTGACCATGTGTTACAGAGTAGAACTGCTCCATGGGGTTTTCAAGGCTGTGACATTTTGGCAGCAGATTTCCAGGTCTTTCTTCCAAGGCACCTCTGGGAGGGTTTGTATTGCCAACCTTTCAGTTAGTAGTTGAATGCTTAACCATTTGTGCCACTAGGGACTCTGCCACCCAGACCTACTGAATCAGAACCACCAGGGAGAGTCATAGGAATCCGTGATTTTAAAATACTTCTGGGTGATTCTGTTCCATCTGGTTTGAGTGGGAACTAACAGGATCAGAGAAGTTCACTGTCAGGTTCAAGGTCACACAGCAAATAAGTGGCAGAGTCAAGATTCCAACCCAGGCAGTCTGACTCCACCTCTATTATGGTGAAGAGTCCATCATGGAGCAGAAACTCACTGACCGTGTCCTGAATGACCCGGTGACCCATCCTGTTCCTAGGACAGTGTGGCCGCTTCAGAAGGAAGCTCCTAAATGGACTTTCTCACCTGAGAGAGGAAGCTCCCCACCTCCGAGGGCGGGTCGTTCTTGCTGTCCCCTGTCACGTTGCCCCGCCTTATGTCCCTCACTGACACATTCTTCACATTGAAGCCTACGTTGTCACCGGGCAGGGCCTTGGCCAAGGCCTCATGGTGCATCTCTACAGACTTGACCTCCGTGGTGATATTGCAGGGGGCAAAGGTCACTACCATGCCCGGCTGGAGGAAGCCTGTTTCTACTCGGCCCACAGGTACAGTGCCAATGCCTGGAGGGACAGAGCCACCAGGACTATCAGAGGCCAGCTCTCACTGGGTCCTCAACCCCAGGTATCCCAACACAGCATATACTCACCCCCAATCTTGTACACATCCTGCAGGGGCAGCTGCAGGGGCTTGTTGGTGGGGCGGGCAGGGGGAATGATGGAGTCCAGCGCATCCAGCAATGTAAAGCCTGTCACATTCCCTTCCTTCCTGGTGATCTCCCAGCCTTTGAACCAGGGCATCTGGAAAAGCCACCGAAGAACAAATATACAGTTCCCTCAGCTGAGAGAGAGACCCTGGCTCTGTCTCAGGCACCAGCCTGCAACTGACATGAGACCTCAAGCAATTTCTTCATGCATTTTCAGTTTTAGCTTTCTCACCTGTAAAATAGTGTTATCACCACCTACCTCACAGGTCCTTGTCAAGACATAAAAGACCACACACAAGCCACCAAGCACAATGCTTGACACTTACTACACGACCACTAAATGGCAGCAATTATTCCAAAGCTCACAGACACTGCCCCTGAGTTGACCCAATGTATTTCAGGAAGCAGACATTGCTAGAATCTGAACAGCCCTTTGATCTCTTTCTATCTGCTCATTTCACAGATGGGGAAACTGAGGCCCGAAGAAGGGAAGGAACTTGTTGAAGTTATAGCAAGTTAAATAAGCATCAGGAATAAGAATGAAAACCAGACCTCAATGCTCCAATACTCATACCTTTTAAAAACTAAGACTTTCCCCAACAGAGATGCCTTGAAGAACGTGCTTCAGGGTCTAAAGCCTGTTCCCAGCTGTGGTATAAAGCAGGCCACCCTCTTTGTGCCTACCTGATAAGTGGGAACAGCTAGCACAGGTGTCCCTGGATGGTGAAGATGGTTAAGTGCTTAGCTGCTAACCAAAAGGTTGAAGTTCCAGTCTACTCAGAGAAAGGCACCTCAGAAGAAAGGCCTGGTAATCTACTTCTGAAAAATCAGCCATTAAAAACTCCATGGAAGGAACCCCTGAAGCTATGGTCCCCAGATGCTCTGCTAACCCAGAACTGAAACCATTCCCAAAGCCTACTTTTCAAACAAAGATTAGACAGGCCTATAAAACAAAAAATTAATACATGTGAGGAATGTGCTTCTTAGTTCAACCAAATACATGAGATCAAATGGGCAGCTCCTATCCAAAAGCAGGATGAGAAGGCAGGAAGGGACAGGAACTGGATGAATGGATACAGGGAACCTGGGGTGGAAAGGGGGAGTGTGCTCTCATATTGTGGGGATTGCAACCAATGTCACAAAACGATATGTGTATACATTTTTGAATGAGAAATTAAGTTGAGCTGTAAACTTTCACCAAAAGTACAATTAAAAAAAAAAAAAACAACTATGAGCACAGTTCTACTCTGACACACATGGGGTTGCCATGAATCAGAGCCGACTCAACGGCAACTGGTAAATAAATACTCAAAAGAACATGGACATGAAATCTCCTTATCTCACGAGCTGAAAAGTGTGATGATACTCAGTGTATGGGGAGTGTGATGATACTCAGTGAATGGGGAGTGTGATGATACTCAGTGAATGGGGAGTGTGATGATACTCAGTGAATGGGGAGTGTGACAGGTACTCAGTGTATGGGGAAACAGGCACTAAAGCTTCAGGGTTCTCTTCTGATGTCATCTTAGATTTTCCCTTGGCCACCCAATATAAAGCAGCTCTCCCACGCTATGCTCCTTCACATTTCTTTAGATTTTTCTTCTCAGTACATGCCACCATATGCCATATACTTCCCCCACGAGACTGTAAGAGCCATGAGCAAAGTTGCATCTCATTCATTGTTGTGCCCTCAGCACCAAGGACAGTGCCCAGCATGTGAACTCTCGCATACCAGATAAATGAATAAACACACTGAGCGCGGCAGTTCTAATCTTTCTCAAGGGCAATCGGGCAGTATGTGTCAGATGTCCCCAAAATAACGCCTACTCTTTGTTTCCTTAGCAATTTATTTTAATTAGATTACCAAGGATATATACAAAGATTTATTTATCAGGATACTTATGGCAACTTCTAATAAAATTAGAAACAATATACTATTGCTTAACTGCACTGTACCTCAGTTTTCTCACCTTAAGTGGACATAAAATGCCTTCGTCATGGGCTTCTGTATATGGAAAGCTCTTGGCCAGGTGTCTAGCACATAATGACTCAAGTCATTAACCACATTTTCATTTAATAATAGATGTGGCGAAACAAATGACTGTACCTCCATGAGATACAATACAGCCATTGACTATTCAACATGTTTAAGCGGCAAGGAAAATTAAGAAAATAACAAGTGTTATAGAACAGTATGTGTAGTTTGAGTCCAGCTGTGAATACCTAGAAAGACCTGTACAAAAACTACGTTAACTCTGTATTATGGGATTATGTTTCATATCTCATTATAGACATGGTAGATATTACTTCTGTCATCAGAAAAAGATAGCTATGTACATGTGGAAGAAAATGCTAAGAATATTCTCAATTAAGGAAAGGTAGGCTTTAGGTAAATGTAATAAGTGACAGCAATTAGCATTAGAGCACCAACTTTACATAATTTGAGCACCCACGTAGGCTCTCTCATGTCATTCTCATACCCCCAGTGAAGTGAGTCCTGAGTCCAGAGCATGAATGACTCACTCACTCCTTTACTGTGGGAAAGGGATGGAGCTGGGATTGAACCCAGGTCTGACCCCAGAGCTAGACTTCCTTGGTAGTGAGACATTCATCTAGGAATATTGAACCTTACTAGATTGTGGGATCCATGAGCACAGGGACTGTATCTTAGACATATTAATATTGCCCCCACACTGCCAGAATTCTAGAACCTACAAGCGCTATCTAATAGAACTTTCCTCAATGACAGAAACGGTTTATAACTGTGCTTATGTGGTAGCCACTAGCCATACGTGGCTGTTGGGCACTTGAAACATGGCTAGTGTGACTGAGGAATTGAATTTTTATTTTATTTATTTTTAATTAATTTAAATTAAAATGGCCACATGCAGCTAGTGGCTACCATATTGGATAGTACAGCTCTATGTTTAGTAGTCATGCGGTCTTGAGTATATACAACCGCTGTTTATTCATCTGTGACATGGAGACTGTATCACATGGAGATGGAGATCATTCACAGTGCCTGGCCCATAAGCACCCTGTCAATCCTAGATATTATAGTAAAAGCACAAAGATTTAAGTGGGAAAGTTTCATTTCATTGGCCTTGGCCCAACAAGTCCTCACCTTGCTGCTGGCAGCCAGCATGTTGTCCCCGTGCCAGCCCGAGATGGGCACAAAGGCCACAGCCTCAGAGTTGTAACCAATCTTCTTGATATAGGATTTCACCTCCTTGGTGATCTCCTCAAAGCGTGCACTACTGTAAGGCGGCTCAGTGATGTCCATCTTGTTGACTGCCACGATGAGCTGCTTCATACCCAATGTATAGGCCAGCAGTGCGTGCTCACGGGTCTGCCCATTCTTGGAGATGCCAGCCTCAAACTCGCCTACACCGCTTGCCACAATCAGCACAGCGCAGTCTGCCTGGCCCCAGGGACAGAGGAAGGAAGGCCCAGCTCAGACCTGGCCTGGGATACCCGCTGCTCACCCCCTAGCAGGGCTGGGGCCACCCTGGTGGTACCTGGGATGTGCCTGTGATCATGTTCTTGATGAAGTCACGGTGACCTGGGGCATCAATGATGGTGATGTAGTATTTGCTGGTCTCGAACTTCCACAGGGAGATGTCAATGGTGATGCCGCGCTCCCGCTCTGCCTTCAGCTTGTCTAGCACCCAGGCATACTTGAAGGAGCCTTTACCCATCTGGGCCAGCAGTGGGAGGGAAAACCCTAGGGTCACCTCCATTGCCAAGCCAGGTAAGCATTGACCAAGAAGAAAGTTCCCAAATAAGTTGGAGTCAGAGGGGAAGTAACAAGGCAATGAACAGAAGTGCCTTTGTTTTGTATCTTAATTTTTTCAATCGAATGTATTGCTTGTATAATTCAGTTTGTTTTTTTTTTTTAAGAGCAAATTTTAGAGTCAAAGTGACCTAGGGTCATATCATAAAGTGCCTAGCCTGTCACGTGGGCCTGGCACATAATCAACAAGCCCTCAAATTAGTAACAGCAGCAAACACTTCAGTAATGCTGACCATGTACTTGGCGCTGTTTTAAGCACTTAACAGATTATTTTATTTAATCCTCGTAACAACTCAGTGAAGTAGCTAGTTTTATCTCCATCTTACAGATAAAGAAACAGAGAAATTCAATAACTCACCCAAGATCATACAGCTAATAAGCTGCACAGCCAGCATTTGAACCAAAGGGTTGACTCTAAAAATTCAAGCTCTTAACCGCTATCCTATAGTAAATGGGAGCTTGGTAAACTGAACTTCTTTCTGCACTGGTAAAAATGAGGATAATAAAGTCATAGCATCTACAGGTTACCATATTGATTAAGGGTAGACTCTACCCCTTGCCAGCTGCAAGACCCTAAGCATGTGTTCATCTCAATTCTAATTAGAATTCTACACTAGACCTTGGGGGCATAGTGGGGAATAAGAAAGACCAGAGACTGGTGACTTCCTCAAGAAAATGAATTAGGTCATTAACAGATAGGACTAGAACCCAGGTGTCCTGATTTTTTCTACTATAGAAACCTATATAAAGTCCATCCATTAGATAAAGCAGTTCTCAAAGAGTGGTCCAGGGACCCATGGTGTGGGGGTCCCTGAGACTCTTTGGGGTTTAAAACTAACCCAGTTGCTGTCAAGTCAATTCCACCTCATGGAGACCCCATGTGTGTCGGAACAGAACTGTGCTCCATAGGGTTTTCAATGGCTGAGTTTTCAGGAGTAGGTTGCCAGGCCTTTCTTCTGAGGCACCTCTGGATAGACTCAAACCTCCAACTTTTTGGTTAGCTGTCAAGCACATCACACGTTTGCACCTCCCAGGGACTGCCTTGGAAGTTTACAAGGTCAAAACTAATTTCATAATAATACTAAGACATTATTTGCCTTTCTCCCTCTCAATTTCTCAGGAGTGGACAGTGGCATTTTCTAGAGACTACATGACATGTAATATTGCAACAGATTGAATGCAGAAGCAGATATGGAATCCAGCTATCTTCTATTAAGCTAGACATTAAAGAACAGCAAAAATATAAATCAATGTCACTCTTCTCATTTAATTTTTCTTGTTTTGGAAAATACGTATTTTTCGTAAAAATGTGATTTTATGTTACTATGTAAGGAGTTTATTACTGGTATTTTTAAGTGAATTAAATATTTTTAAAACTCCATTTTAATTCTGAATATGGTAAATATAGATACAGCTCATAAAAAAAGCTCTTTGAGTTCATTTAAGAGTGGAAAGGTTTCCTCAGACCAGAAAGTTTGAGAACCACCACGTCAGGTGATTTGTGGGGGCTATGAGCCAGTCAGTTTTTTCTCAGGGTTTCCTTAACACCCCCCTGCCACACAAGCACCCCACAACAATTCAGATTACACCTCAGGAGGCCAAGACTAGGAAAACAGGATCTATGTAGCTGAGTGGCACTGATTTACAACATGTTGCTAACTTGTTTCAACTCTCCCTGTTTTTCACTTCTGCAGCAGCTGGGTCTCCAGACTGCTCTCATCTTGTTGAGAGACTTCTTCAACTCTCTCCATGATTTTCCATTCACTTCCATGGTTCTCCTTTCTGCACAGGCTACTGTTTCTCCACCATCCCCAGGGCTCTGCTCCTCACTTTTTTCCAAAGCACACACCCAGCTCACTCCAGTGGCTTCACAATTTCCAGCCCAGTCTCTGCCCTGAGCTCCAGATTTCAATATCCAGCTGCCCCCGGGAAATCAGCACAGAAGGCCCCATGGATGCCTCAAATTTCACACATCTAGGACAGACTTGTTCCAACCCCAGACCAGCTCTGCTTCTGGAATTCACTAACCATCTGATTTCTGAAGCCAGAAACTTGGGAGTCACCCTTTTCTTTCTCCCTTACCTTCTTCCCAGTGCTAACCTCTAAGTTCTGTGGGTTCCCTGCCTCCATGTTCCTGGAGTCCATAGGTTTCACCCATCCACTGTTGTTGCCTGCACCCAGGCCTCCATCCTTGCTCTCCTGGATCAGCTGTAACAACTTCCTAGATGGCTTCTCAGCACCCAGTGTTGGGCCGTGTTCTTCCTGCGCTGCGGCCAGAGTACACTTCCTCAAAGACATGTCTGATCCTGTCCCTCCTGTGCTCATCTCCTTCAGTGCTTCCCACTGGCTGCAGGGAAAGCAGCCAAGCTCCTTCACAAGGCACACGAGCCTGCACCCCGAAGCTCACCAGACACCTACTCTTCATCTCAGGCACCCTGCGCCCCTGTTCTGATGTCCTCGTGGCTCACGGACACCCTCACCCATTCTTCAAGGCTCAGAGGAGGTCCCGTCCTCTGGAAAGCCTTCACGGCCTCCCAGGCCGTGTTCACGGTCCCTGCCCTGGACTCGTACAGCACCCACACTGTTGCCGAGCTTGCCGTGTGACATAGGGTGTGTGACTGCAAGTTCCTGGGGAGCAGGGCCTGTCATGTCCACCACTGTGTCCCCAGGGGCTACCCCAAGGTCCATAGTAGATGCATGGCAAAGAATAGATCCTTTCCTCCTTTTAAACTGGGTGATGCTGGCACCTTTACCTCCTAAAATGAAGTGTAGCATCTTATGTCACACTAGTATTTAAACCTGGTGCCACTCTCCTTATGCAATCCAGGCAAGCTACTCAACCCTTCTAAGACTCATTTGCCTCACGTGGAAAATGGTGGCAACACCACCTGCCTGTTGTGATTGAGATGGAAAGCACCTACCAGCCCAGTAGGGGCACAGCTGACGGGGACTGCCCCCTCCCCACCATGAGGAATCCCACCACTTCGTTCCTGAAGGCTGGAAGTGGCTCTCTACCCTGGACCTCAGGCAGAGCAGCCTCACCTCCATCGCCTCCTTCTCGAACTTCTCGATGGTCCTCTTGTCGATGCCCCCACATTTGTAGATGAGGTGCCCAGTGGTGGTGGATTTGCCTGAATCCACATGGCCGATGACCACGATGTTAATGTGAGTTTTATCTTTGCCCATGGTGGGGGCTGCGAGGAGAGAGGAGGACAGGCTCAGGGGATACATTGACTATCCCCTGCCCCCAACCCATCTTCCTTGGCACTGGACCACGTGGCCAGAGGACAGGAGGGAAACAGTGGACCAGGAAGGCAGGCGGCGGGGTGGGGGGTGGG